TGTGCCTAAATACCTAAATTTATGCACTTGTCCTACGATAACGTGAGTTACCTTGTAACTATCCTGATGTATTGGAGGGTGGTTTGAATCTAGCACTGGCGTTTCAGCCTGCTCCACGAAACGAACTGCTGATGTTGCCATGAAGGTCCTGGTTCACATCCTCCTGACACTGAACGGTCTTTTGGGCTCGGTAGTTGCTGCAGTAGGCGTCTTGGTACTCCGTGCCGGCGGGCCAAGCTCTGGGCTTGTGGTCAGCATCATAGTCTCGGGAGCCAAGTCCAAAAAGGAAGGGGTTCTTGATCGACCTGGCGTACCTGTGATATAAACCATACAATGTTCTCATTATCATCATCGTCATCATCATCACTGCCATTATCATCATCGGCATGATCATAGGTATTACAATTATCGTCACTGTTATCACTACTTCGACGAACATTGTCAAACATCAAAATGGTTATCATCATCAGCATCAACGATCACTGTCTGTAAGAAAAGATGAAGAAGAAAATGACGAAGAAAAAGCTGATGAAGAAGAAAAAGATGATTAAGAAGAAGAAGAAGAAGAAGAAGAAGAAGAAGAAGAAGAAGAAGAAGAAGGAAGAAGAGAAGAAGAAGAGGAGAAGAAGAAGAAGAAGAAGAAGAAGAAGAAGAAGAAGAAGAAGAAGAAGAAGAAGAAGAAGAAGAAGAAGAAGAAGAAGAAGAAGAAGAAGAAGAAGAAGAAGAAGAAGAAGAACAAACAACAACAAAAAGAAGAAGAAGAAAAAGAAAATTAATGAGCATCGAAAGCGGCCTTAAAAAGTCCCAACATGGTACAATAACAATGTTTGTAAGCATAATCCAGCTCCCACATCGTCCCCATTTACATCGCACACGCATACGAGAGCTCTCGTGCACTTCACGCACACACACACACACACACACAGAGAGAGAGAGAGAGAGAAACACACACTTATCACCTAGTATTATCTCTACTGGACGTGTCCGGTTCCCAGTGAAACAGACATCCCACATTGGGATACCTCCAGTCCATAGTTGTGTGGAGATTTTCACCTGCTCCAGTTCAGCATGGTCTAAGCTTGATAACCACTTTCAGTGCTTGCACAGGCAAATTCCGATTTTAGTGCGCGTTGATGGCCTAGACACTAAAACAAATAGAGACATTAGGGAAAATTGTGTTTTACATTAAGACGTTGGGCTTGATTTCAGCCGGGCTTATCTCCTACGCCACTCTCCTACGCCACTTTTGCAAGAAGAGGAGAAGTAGAGGAAAAGGAGGAGGAGGAGAGAAGAAGAAGAAGAAGAAGAAGAAGAAGAAGAAGAAGAAGAAGAAGAAGAAGAAGAAGAAGAAGAAGAAGAAGAAGAAGAAGAAGAAGAAGAAGAAGAAGAAGAAGAAGAAGAAGAAGAAGAAGAAGAAGAAGAAGAAAAAAAGCAGAAGAAGAAGAAAAAGAAGCAGAAGAAGAAGAAAAAGAAGAAGAAGAAGAAGAAGAAGAAGAAGAAGAAGAAGAAGAAGAAGAAGAAGAAGAAGAAGAAGAAGAAGAAGAAGAAGAAGAAGAAGAAGAAAAAGGAAAGGAAGAAGAAGAATATGAAGAAAAAAAGAAAAAAGAAGAAAAAGACGAAGAAAAAAAGAAGAAGAAGAAAGAAGAAAAAGGAGTTGTTAACTAATTCTTCGAGACATAGGAAGAAACTGGTGTGGTAACTAGTTCTACAAGGGAAACAGGAAGACAGTGGGGTGGTAACTAGTTCTACAAGAGAAATAGGAAGACAGTGGGGTGGTAACTAGTTTTACAAGAGAAATAGGAAGACAGTGGGGTGGTAACTAGTTCTACAAGGGAAATAGGAAGACAGTGGGGTGTTAACTAGTTCTACAAGGAAAATAGGAAGACAGTGGGGTGGTAACTAGTTCTACAGGGGAAATAGGAAGATAGTGAGGTGGTAACTAGTTCTACAAGAGAAATAGAAAGACAGTGGGGTGTTAACTAGTTCTACAAGGGAAATTGGAAGACAGTGGAGTGGTAACTAGTTCTACAACGGAAATAGGAAGACAGTGTGGTGGTAACTAGTTCTACAAGGGAAATAGGAAGACAATGGGGTGGTAACTAGTTCTACAAGGGAAATAGGAAGACAGTGTGGTGGTAACTAGTTCTACAAGGGAAATAGGAAGACAATGGGGTGGTAACTAGTTCTACAAGGGAAATAGGAAGACAGTGTGGTGGTTACTAGTTCTACAAGGAAAATCTAAAGAGAGTGGGGTGGTAGCTAGTTCTACAAGGAAAGCAGGAAGAGAGTGAGGTTGTAACTAGTTCTACGAGGAAAGCAGGAAGAGAGTGAGGAAGAGAGTAAGGAAGAGTGTGGCGTTAACTAGTTCTACGAGAGAGTGGTCAGAGAGTGAGGTTTTTAACTAGATCCACGGGGCGAGTTGGGGGGGGGGGGGGGGATAAGAAGACACCGCGGTTGTGGAGATGTCATGAGAATCGAAACGTTGTGCTGGTTACTGAAGATGGGAGACTGAGAACTTATTGGAATATCCCGAGTGCCGTTGTTATGTCAGTTTTTCTCAAATCATTGCATCTTTGTATAGATTACTTCCTTCTGTCCTTCATCTGTTATAAACACACTAGCTTACAAATAGATTAGACTGATCACAAGCGGTCAGTCACACATCCGCCTTGTGCATTCTTCCCAGGAACAACTGAACTGAAAGCCTCTAAATGTAATTCATTGAATGGGTGAAAAGTTTTGAAGATGGCATAGAGAGGTATCTTCCGTTCATAATAAGAGGTGCAGCACTTATCCGCACTTGTGCATTTGTGCACAATATACATCCATGTTAAACGTAGACACTTGAAAACAAAGGCAGCTGATAAAGATCAAGACTGGGAGAAAGACAAGGTAATTAGCTGGTTAGTCGACAGACTTAAATTACCTTGGGCAGCCAAAAAGAGCAACCTTAAGGTTTTGAAAGAGGCAGGAGCCCGAAGACAACTAATCACAGACATCAGAAGGAGACAGTCATCATTTTATTGAGAAGAGGGAAAATAGAACATGTTGTGACCACTGAAAAGATCTGTGGAAGGAGGGATAGAGGAAGACAACGAGAGAAGATTCTTGATAGCCCTGTTGCATGCCATGGAGGTGTGTCAGCACACGAACTAATACATGCTGCAGGAGATCGCAGATTGTGGTGAGGCATGATCGCCCACGCCAGTCGGCAAGGCACCTGATGATGATGAGTCGACAGACGATCTACACTGCATATCGAACCATCCAAAGGCGCACAGAAGCTCATGGATATCCTCTCTAGCATACCCCTCAGCGTGTAGCTACTGACAACACAAGTTCTGTCTTGGTTATTTTTCTTCTTTGGCTTGCACGCTAATGTTGAATGTTGAATTAGGAATCGACATCCTAGCACTCGGGACACCTCATAAGTTCTTAGTCCCCATCTTCAGCAGCAAGCGAAGAGTTCCAGTTCCGATGGTACCAGTAACCGTCTGATTGTATATCCCCTGGTAACTCCTCGCAGCGCCATTCTCCTCAGAATGTATTGATCTATCTGCGCCTCCTCACTGTTCACCCTTTCCCAAAGGGCCCTCACAATTTCTAATTTGTCATACATCAATTTACCCTCAAGTGGTGCAGAGCCAGCCAGTCTATCTGCCTGCTCATTTCACTGGCATGACCTGCAGAAAATATCCAAAGGAAGCTAACTACCTCCGAGGTGATGCTTGCCACTCTTCACGAAGCATGCCTGTTTTCACCTTTCTCAACATGCTCTGTTGCACGCGTAGGAAGACGAACTGTGAGTTCAAGATAATTGCTTTTTTTTTTTTTTTTTTTGCCAAGCAAAAATTAAAGTCCGTCCCAAAAAGCGGGGCGGTTTAATAAATGATGGCTTTCTTGGATTTCAAGCAGTGGCATGAGAGGCATACCATAGAAGAGACTGAGATTTTATATCGTAACATTCAAAAAAGACACATGTGAATACAATGCAGTCAACTTTGTTTGAGTTACGGTATTACCTGCCATAGCCTTTTCTGGCTAGTATTCATTTCCTGTGTTCATCACAAGTGTGTGAGAGCTTCAATCGACCAGATACATGTGTGGATTTTTCTAGAAGATACCTCAGTTAAGTGTTTTTGTGTATTCTTGTTCATAATTGTATCATTTTTTATCATGAATATGCCGATGAAGGCCTCACGGTCCGCACGTTCACTTGTCGTTTATGATTTTGATAATATAAGGCTACCTAGGGTTCTTTATTTTATTTATTTTTGTTTTCTTTTGTTTTGTTCAACCCATCTCCGAGAATCTGAGATTTCATGGGAAATACTATAGGGGTGTTAGGGTTAAGTAAGTCGGTGCTCATTTGACACCGTATCATCATCATCATCATCATGATGCGGCAGGTCCTTTGCAAAACGTCTCTCTCAACACGGTATCACTGAAAGTAACTCGGTCTTTCGCCAGCTCTCCCGCCTCGTGTACTTTATATCCAAAGAGTCACGTATATCTGTATATCTTTGTGTTGATTGGCCATTGCCCCTCCTTCCTAGTACAATATCTTCTGCTATATTTTCCTATTCAGCCACGGTGTTTGATATGATATGACCAAAATATTTCAGCTTATCATACAAGATGCTATTTATTAGCCAACCTTCCTTAATGTTAAAATCTTTTAAAATGTCAGTATTTCTTCTCTTCTTTGTCCAGGGAATTCTAAAAAAAATTTTTTTTTAAATAACATTTCAGCTCAAAAGCTCCCATTTCCTTACTTAAGAACTTCAAACCGTGTCACCCCTATAAATTGGACTTGCCTCTACCTCTCGGAATCTTCGAGATGGGGTGAACAAAAATAAATAATAATAATAATACAATAAATTAAGAACCCCTAACTAATTCTACATTTCGTCTACTTTGATAGCATTTTATTACATTTTATTTTAATTAAAGATGTTAACGTAACTGAAAATTTTCAGGAGACAGCAATCAAAAGTGACATGGCCTACTTAAGCTCGGAATCTTTACATACACTTCCGGGTTATTATGATTCGCGGGAACCGGAACCATCCTCCATCTTGTTCCCACGAGGCCCCCAATGGACGAGGAGGTACCAGAGGACGCCGCACTTAGACCGCCTCAACGATTGTTTCGTGTACACAGACCAAGGGCCCCCGATGTACAGGCTGCTGGGGGCCCATTACAATATGTACAAGATCCCCGTGAAAACTGACTACCATTTTACGGACCGTTCGTGTCATTTCGAACTGCGACAGTACAACGCTCCGAACTACAGGTATGTCCGCTGGGCATTAGTCTTTCTTTCTTTCTTTCTTTCTTTCTTTCTTTCTTTCTTTCTTTCTTTCTTTCTTTCTTTCTTTCTTTCTTTCTTTCTTTCTTTCTTTCTTTCTTTCTTTCTTTCTTTCTTTCTTTCTTTCTTTCTTTCTTTCTTTCTTTCTTTCTTTCTTTCTTTCTTTCTTTCTTTCTTTCTTTCTTTCTTTCTTTCTTTCTTTCTTTCTTTCTTTCTTTCTTGCCTGTTTTATACAATGCTCTAAAAATTATGTGCATTAGTCGTTGATATTTTTGTACATGTCAGTGGGTCTGAGTATATATATCAGTGGGTGTCTGAATATGCCAGTGGGTCTCTATAGATGTCAATAGGTCTCTGAATACGTCAGTGAGTCTCTATAAATGTCAATGGGTCTCTGAATACGTCAGTCGATCTATAAATCATGGTTTAATACAGTCAACAAAGATTTGTAATAAATCCTGGTTTAATGTAGTCAACAAAGATTTGTAATAAATAATGGTTTAATGTAGTCAACAAAGATTTGTAATAAATCATGGTTTAATGCAGTCAACAAAGATTTGTAATAAATCATGGTTTAATGTAGTCAACAAAGATTTGTAATAAATCATTGTTTAATGTAGTCAACAAAGATTTGTAATAAATCATGGTTTAATGTAGTCAACAAAGATTTGTAATAAATAATGGTTTAATGTAGTCAACAAAGATTTGTAATAAATCATGGTTTAATGCAGTCAACAAAGATTTTTAATAAATCCTGGTTTAATACAGTCAACAAAGATTTGTAATAAATCCTGGTTTAATACAGTCAACAAAGATTTGTAATAAATCCTGGTTTAATACAGTCAACAAAGATTTGTAATAAATCCTGATTTAATGTAGTCAACAAAGATTTGTAATAAATAATGGTTTAATGTAGTCAACAAAGATTTGTAATAAATAATGGTTTAATGCAGTCAACAAAGATTTGTAATAAATCATGGTTTAATGCAGTCAACAAAGATTTGTAATAAATAATGGTTTAATGTAGTCAACAAAGATTTGTAATAAATAATGGTTTAATGTAGTCAACAAAGATTTGTAATAAATCATGGTTTAATGCAGTCAACAAAGATTTGTAATAAATCCTGGTTTAATACAGTCGACAAAGATTTGTAATAAATCCTGGTTTAATACAGTCAACAAAGATTTGTAATAAATCATGGTTTAATACAGTCAACAAAGATTTGTAATAAATCATGGTTTAATACAGTCGACAAAGATTTGTAATAAATCATGGTTTAATGCAGTCGACAAAGATTTGTAATAAATAATGGTTTAATACAGTCGACAAAGATTTGTAATAAATAATGGTTTAATGTAGTCGACAAAGATTTGTAATAAACAATGGTTTAATGCAGTCGACAAAGATTTGTAATAAATCATGGTTTAATACAGTCAACAAAGATTTGTAATAAATCATGGTTTAATGTAGTCGACAAAGATTTGTAATAAATAATGGTTTAATGTAGTCAACAAAGATTTGTAATAAATAATGGTTTAATACAGTCAACAAAGATTTGTAATAAATAATGGTTTAATGCAGTCGACAAAGATTTGTAATGAATGTTTGTTCTTTCTATGCCATTAAGCGAGGCTTTCTCCATGAACTATTTGTGTTTCTTATTTCAAAACAGATAGATTCTGTGTATGATCTCCCCCCCCCCCCCTCCAGCCAAACCGCCTTTTCCCCATTTAAGAAAAGATTATAACATTAATGTTGTACTTGTGTGTGTTGGTGTGTGTGTGTGTGAGAGAGAGAGAGAGAGAGAGAGAGAGAGAGAGAGAGAGAGAGAGAGAGAGAGAGAGAGAGAGATTTACTAACGTTTTATTTGATCTGGTTCTAGTAAGAGAAACGATAGCTTTCCACTAATGATATGGAGATAGAAAAGAAAAAAATGGGAGGGACTAATTAAAAAGCCCAAGTCTAACTTAACTTTGCTATTTTTTTTTCTTACTTCAGAAACGAGGCTCTGACATTCCCACCCGGACCCCCGCCAGCCCAGGTGGCTGTTTACGACCAGCTGGTTACCGGGCCAGTTTCCGACAACCAGGTGAGTAAATGGAGAGTCAGTGGTTAAGGGGTCAAAGGACAAAGTTCAGATGTCCCAAACGAAACATTACAGTTTAGTTAGTTAGTTGCGTATCCTTTACAGGACGTTGCAGAACCAACCCCAGCAGCCTCTGGCATTTGTGTGGTTTCTCTAGGCAAATTTATGTCTAGTAGTTTGCCATTGTCGCTGGACGGTCGGCTTCTTAACCAACACAAGCCACATGTTGTAGAGTTTCTCTGATGTTATCCTTCCATCTTGTTCTTGGTCTACCCCGTGCTCTACGTCCTTCTTCTCTTTCCATGTATGCTTTGTATGGTATGGTGTCACAAGGCATTCTCTCTAATTGGGCAAACCATTTCACTTGCTGTCTTTGTATGTAATCCAGAACTGGTTCTGTGCCGACTTGTTCTCTTTTGCTCTCATTCCTGATCTTATCTCTTATGGTCACTCCTACAGCCCTTCTCAGACATCTCATTTCCGTGGTTACTAATTTTCTTTTATGGTTTGTTGTGAGTGACCATGTCTGGCACTGGTAACACAGAGTTGGAATAAATATGCTTTGAATAAGATGTCTCTTTGTGCTGATTGGGATTGTCTTATGCTGTAAGAGGGGGGCTAGCTGTCCCAATACTTGGTTACTGGGTTTGCTTTACTGCATCTAATGTCAATTTCTTTATTCAAGTTCCCATCTTCGGTAAATGTAGTTCCCAGATATTTAAACTCAGATGCCTTTTAATGCCTTTGTATTCTATTGCTATGTTTAGATCTGTCTTCTTTTTTCCTATTGACATTACTTCTGTCTTTTCAGTGTTGATTCTCATATTATTTGTTTTACATTCTTCATTCATGGATGTTAGATGTTGTTGCAATTTCATGGCTGTATCTGCTATCAAGGCCTGGTCATCTGCAAAGAGTAATTCGTTTATTTATTGAATGATTGAACAAATTATTAATTAAGAAATTACCTGATTGACCGACAGACCAATTGGTTGAATGACAACTAATTTATTGCCTGATTTATTGATTGATCGATTTACCGGCTATTATGAATTCTCGCACATTTCAGACTGCACCCACCATGCAGACACGGAACAATTATTTTAGCAGCATCCAGGCCTGGGATAAGTATCGATACCTGCCGGGGCCGCCAACCGAGAAACAGATGAACCGGAAATTCTAGGATACCCGTTTTAGGGCACCTTCCTGACTGCATACAGACCTTACTGTATTGTTGATTTGTCTAGAGTGAGTGAGCGAGCGAGTGAGTAAGTGAGTGAGTGAGTCAGTCAGTCAGTCAGTTAGTGAGGTAGTGAGTGAGTTAGTGAGTTAGTGAGTGAGTTAGTGAGTGAGTGAGTGAGTTAGTGAGTGAGTGAGTTAGTGAGTGAGTTAGTAAGTGAGTTAGTAAGTGAGTTAGTGAATGAGTGAGTAAGTGAGTTAGTAAGTGAGTGAGTAAGTTAGTGAGTGAGTTAGTGAGTGAGTTAGTGAGTGAGTGACTGAGTGAGTGAGTAAGTGAGTTAGTGAGTGAGTGAGTGAGTTAGTGAGTTAGTGAGTCAGTGAGTGAGTGAGTGAGTGAGTGAGTGAGTTAGTTAGTTAGTTAGATAGTTAGTTAGTTAGTTAGTTAGTTAGTTAGTTAGGTAGGTAGTTAGTTAGTTAGTTAGTTAGTTAGTTAGTTAGTTAGTTAGTTAGTTGTTAGTTAGTTAGTTAGTTAGTTAGTTAGTTAGTTAGTTAGTTAGTTAGTGAGTTGGTGAGTTAGTGAGTTAGTGAGTTAGTGAGTTGAGTTGAGTTAGTGAGTTGAGTTAGTTAGTTAGTTAGTTAGTTAGTTAGTTAGTTAGTTAGTTAGTTAGTTAGTTAGTTAGTTAGTTAGTTAGTTAGTTAGTTAGTTAGTTAGTTAGTGAGTTAGTTAGTGAGTTAGTGAGTTAGTTAGTGAGTTAGTTAGTGATTTAGTTAGTGAGTTAGTTAGTGAGTTAGTTAGTTAGTTAGTTAGTTAGTTAGTTAGTTAGTTAGTTAGTTAGTTAGTTAGTTAGTTAGTGAGTTAGTTAGTGATTTAGTTAGTGAGTTAGTTAGTGAGTTAGGTTAGTGCGTTAGTTAGTTAGTTAGTTAGTTAGTGAGTTAGTTAGTTCGTTAGTTAGTTAGTTAGTTAGTTAGTTAGTTAGTGAGTTAGTTAGTGAGTTAGTGAGTGAGTGATTTAGTGAGTGATTTAGTGAGTGATTTAGTGAGTGATTTAGTGAGTGATTTAGTGAGTGAGTGGCGTTCAACCCCATCAGGACCGCACAACGAACAATAAACACACGGTGACACAAAGTACCAGTAGTCGGATACGAATCCTCCGGGCACAAGTCCTTAAAACCCCGTTCAACCGTTCGAATATAGCAATGGCTTTAAAATGGTCAACAACAAAAATATTGCGCTCCATCGACATTGCAGTGAGACCAGTTGTCTAAATTTCATTATTTGAAATACGTTATTTGAAATTAATGTCATAGAAGAACCTTACACAAATCAGATTGTTGTTCGTGCACTGACCCACTCCTCTCCTGGTCCAGTGTTCTCAAGCATGCATACGCGTCTGATTGTTTCTCCAGTTTGCCTTATCCAAGACTTTCTTTTTTTTCTGTCGGTGATCCTTAGTCCAACAGTAAATCAAATAGTTTGTCTACTTGGTAGAGCGAATGCATGTAACGCCACAGCATACAAGTTTCAAGTTAGTTGCGTATCCTTTACAGGACGTTGCTGAACCAACCCCAGCATTTTTTGGCTGTCTGTTGTCGTTTTTTTTTTTTCCTAGGTACATTTGGCACATTATAATCATACTTCTTCTTTTGTCGTCTCACGGATACCCATTGTAGTGGGTTTCTCTTTTGTAATTCAATATTTCTTGTGTAGCAGTGGTAGTATTACGACTGCCGGCTTGCTAGGTTCGTCGTTTGGCTGACCAGGTTGGTGCCGTCTTCTCCCAGGAAAACCATTGCCCGGTTAGTCTTAAACCTCACCGCTAAGGTTTTCCAGCGTGTACCACGAGGAGGTGGGGTTGACCTGGGTGCTGCTCTACGACAGGCTATTTCAATTTCACTTTTCGCCTCTCTAAAGAGAAGCTAGCTAAAATTAACACTGCTGGCTGCGGTGCCAAGTGCTCGAGCACATTCTTACACACCATAATCTTCTTCTTCTTCTTTTTCTCTCTACTCCTGGAATACCTCGCGGCGTCGGGGCAGGAAGAGGTCTCTGGAACGGGCTCTTCTGTTTGCCTAATAATAATAATATCATCAGTAAAAGTAATTATTGCCCAGATAAACAGATCCTAAGCACACCGAGGGTCCCCAGCAACTTTCTAGGAGAGAGGATCTCTAAGGGTTTCAGTCTTGTTTTGTAAGAGTAAATATTATTATTGCACGACTAAGCAAGGCTTAAGGCCATGAATTATTTGTTGAACTTCTGATATTGCAGCACCCACTGGAAAGTCCCTGCACTCACAGCTTAAATTAATAGAAGAAACCTACTCTAAGAATATCCTCATCGACACCTCGAAAGAGGAAGAAGAAGAAGAAGAAGATGATGACCCTAACGCTTCATACAGGACCTGCTTCCAGTCTGCAGTTATTCCTCATAACCTTATTTATTACAATGTTTTTGTGTGTGTGTATATTACTCTCTTCGTTTCTTTACTTATCCCAGAATGCCGTGTAGCGTCTACTGTTGTTGTCTTCTTGTAAAGTTTAATATTGGTTCTATGTAATATTAATCCATTATTTCGACCGACTGAGAAATGTCATAGTATAACATTTTGTGTTGAATGCCTGATTGCCGAAAATAAACTATTATTTACGTACTAATTTGTTTCTTCAAATATCACAATCTACGTCCTCGTCATCATCATTATCATCAACCCGATGTATCATTTATACATAGGATTGGCATCGCAGCCTATTCTACTTCTCCTCTCCTACAACTATTGTTGCTATTGCTGCTATCATCACTACTACGACTGTTGCTGCTACTACTATTACTACTACTGCTGTATATACGACTACTCATACTACTACTACTACTGCTACTACTACTATTACTAATGCTGCTGCTACTACTATTACTACTATTGCTGCATCTACTACTACTAATACTACTACTACTGCTACTACTACAAATACTAATGCTGCTGCTGCTACCACAATTACTACTACTGCTACAACTACTACTACTAGTGCTGCTGCTGCTACTACTACTATTACTACTACTGCTGATACTACTAGTACTATTACTACTACTACTGCTGCTGCTGTTGCTACTACTACTACTACTGCAACTACTATTATTACTACTGCTAATGCTGCTGCTACTACTATTACTACTACTACACAACAATAACACCAGTTACTAATAATGCATTTACTACTTCTTTACTACAACAACTACTGCTGCTTCTTCTTCTTCAGTCTGGGCTAGTTTAGGGTTATCACTGCACATCTGATTCCATTGTGGTTTGTTTGTTTTCCCCTCTGTGAAGGTGGAGGAGCAGAAGAAGATAAAGAAGACGAAGAAAAGGAAGAGGAAGAAGAAGAAAAAGACGAACAAGTATAAGAAGAAGAAGAAGAAGAAAAAGACGAAGACGAAGAAGTAGAAATCTCTCTCTCTCTCTCTCTCTCTCTCTCTCTCTCTCTCTCTCTCTCTCTCTCTCTCTCTCTCTCTCTCTCTCTCTCTCTCTAAGCGTAGGCTGTTATGTTTCACCATCTCACACGATCACCAGACTCACACATCATATCAAGGTCACAGTTTCGCCCCATCCATGTGTCAAACTTATCTAGGTGTATATCTCTTTGCCTTCCTCTGATCTATTCTTATCAATATTGCCAGCTGTCATCAAGTTCTCAAGTCCATTTCTTCTCATAACATGTCCCAAACTGGGTGTCTATGAGTAAATTGTGAAATCATGACTTTTCCCAGCACTCTAGAGAACCTACGGTAGTTTGCCACTGCTTTCCTTTTTGGCAGTGACTGATCGGGTCTTGGCTTGGCTTGCTTTGCGAGGAAAACAAAAAGTAAAAGATCGTCATGTTCAATCAGCATTCTCCCAAAGGGGGAGCTTTAGGTTATAACTGTGACTAAGTTTATGGGCGCCATATAAAATGGCTTGGATGGTTATGCTAATTATGAGAATGAATCCTGATATACCAGCCAAAAATGCCTCACATGAACACCAAAGGGAAAGAGAAAACAGGGGCTCCCAAAAACAACATGGAAACGAGCGATGGAAAGTGACCTGAGTGTGGCATCTTTGACATGGAAAACTGCACTGAAGATTGCACAGGACAGGAAAGTATGGAAAGTCCTCTCTGAAGCCTCATGTGCCACTAGGCATAACGAAAACTGTTATAAGATGGCTTAGCATCGCATTAACAGGAAATGGTTGTATGAGGGGGAAGGATGGACAAATTATTGTTGATAAGAAAGATATAATAAAAAGATGGACTGAATACACAGAAGACCTGTTTTGGGACAACAGAGGTGACAAACCGCCAATCCATAATATTCAAGAGGGACCAAACATATTAAAGTCTGAAGTAGAGTAAGTCATTAAACAGATGAAGCAGGGAAAAGCTGCAGGTCCAGGCAACATAACTGCAGAAATGTTAAAATCATTGTGTACTTTTGGAATTGATACTATCACAGAAATATGCAATGACATTTATAACTATGGGTACATTTCCAGGGACATGAAAACATCTGTTTTTATCACACTACCCAAGAAATCAAAAGCTGTTGATTGTGAAGATTACATAACTATTAGCCTAATGAGTCACGTAACTAAGTTACTCTTGAAGATATTACAAGCAAGAATTCAAGATAAAATAGAGAAAGAAGTTTCTGAAGAGCAATTTGGTTTCCGTAAAAACAGTGGTACTCGAGAGGCCATAATTTGTCTAAAGATGCTGACTGAAAAATATATAGAAGTTCAGAAAAATATTTATGCATGTTTTATAGATTACAAAAAAAAGCTTTCGACAGAGTGCAACATGAACAACTAATTGCAGCTCTTCAAAACATAGGACTAAATGGACAGGATATCAGACTTATTAGAAACTTATACTGGGAGCAAGAAGCAACAGTAAGATATGACAACATCTGCTCACCCCAGATAGAGATCAAGGGAGGAGTAAGACAAGGATGTGTGCTGTCGCCTAGCCT